ATCACATATATGGTAATAGGGACGGGTGCGCGCGCGCCGACATCTGTGCAAACATACGCACACTACTATACCAAACTGGAAATTGTATCAAATGTAACAAAAAAAACATAGATTTGACATTTTGTGACAAGTTCATAGTTATCAAATATTTCTAAATAATCATATAAAAAAAGTATATCAAAGTTTAATTTAGAAGTATGTAGTACATAATTTTGGATTTAAAATTCGGGATTAAATCATTATTTTTTTCCAAAGAATCGATCGAGGAAATATCGTGTTTGTTTTATTGCTCTTTAAAATACATAGGTATTTATTTATTTTGTTAAATTAACAGATGGACTTAGCCTTGCGCTACGTATTCAAACTATATTTTCCTTTTTTAGTCATTTGTCATCTTCTATTTTTAGCATTGTTTAACATTTTATTTGAGTATTAGTATTTTTACTTATTAGTATTTAGTCTAGTTTTGTCAGATTTGTACAAAATTTAAAATCGATGAACCTCCAAGTGTTGTCTAGAAAATCTTTCAACTCTAACCTGAGAGTAAGGTCTGACCTTACAGTAAGGAGGTGGAAATAATAAAACACAGCAGATATCAGAAACATAAAGTTAAGCAATCTAATCATGGTACAGGGACTGTATACTAGTGGTCAATTCCAATCGGTGTAATGGCTACAAGATTATTTTAACACAATCTAACTGTTTGTTTATCAACCATTAGAGAAAATTCCAACTCTGTTTAGGTTCTAAATGAAATGGTAATACTACTTTATATTGAAACCCCTGTATCCCTAACCTCCTGCATTATGCCTTAGTGGACTATCAATTATAGATATCTTTATATATAAAAATGGATCGCAAAATGTGTTGGTAAGCGCAAAACTCAACAACGCCTGGATCAACTTTGCTAATTCCCTTTTTTGTTATGTTTGTTATTGTCAGGAGAAGATTCTTATCAAAGAAAATATCAGAAATGTATGAAATGAAATGTAGGGGAAAATTAGGAAAAGTGACCCATTGATAGCGAGATAGTTGGACCCGTACAAAACGGGGGCGGGCCGCTAGTAGAACAATAAAAATTGGGAGAATCCCTAACTTCTTTTAGCGTTCATTTGTTTGTCTTTTTTAGAGATATATTCGTCTAGTAAACGGTAGAAAAGGTCTAGCCGGGGTCGCGGGGCAAGTGCAACAAGGTACCGGGGCCCCAGCGTGAACGAGGTGTTTTACGCAGTAAGAGTCTGACACTCCCTTTGCAAAAAGGGGACCAAATGTTACACTTAAACCAGACACCTGTAGGTCCAGGTCCAGCCCAAAACATATCTGCATTGAACAGTATACGTATTCGAGTTGATCATGATGATTTTTTTCCCATCTAACAGATTTTTTTACTATTATTGCTTAAAATTCAGTCTTTTGCATATTAAGTGATCGGTATAATTTCCACTCGATTTAAATCAAATTAATCGTAAACCGATAATTTTGTCAAGTAATAATTAATTTAAAATATACTTTGATGTTTCCGAATAATTTCATTGAACTCATAATCCTCTTCCTTTATTCTGAGACAGGCTAGTTTAATGAACAGTTTTAAACATCCGCTTTGGTAATGATTTATTCGATGCGCACGCGTCGCTTTGCAGGTGGTCCCTCTGAGCGATTTCATTAATTTTATTTTGTTATCATTTTTAATTGTGATTTGATTTAGTTGTTATCGCTAATCATATGTTAAATCCATGTTTTTATATAAGGAGCAAGAGTAATGAAAGGGTGTGAAACGAAGAAAAATATATATAAATATGCAAAGGATTACCCTAGAGTTTTTGAATTGTACTTATGGGTAAATCATCAAAAAATTCCAAAAATTTCAAAGGAAGGCCTTTGTAATTGTTTACACTGAATTAATTTTGATGACACTTGGTTGCCCATAGCTTATTTTATTTAAAATAAAACCAAATAGTATTTGAAGATCCAATTAACTCTTCAGTTTTATCAGAAGTGTTCTTGTACAATGAGTGGCTTCGACGTCCCGAACATTGCCGAAGACAGCCAATATCTGCCGAGTTATTAATTGAGCATTGTGCGCACGCGTAATGGGACATGCGCAAGAGCACTCCGCTGTTATCTTTATGAAGACGCATGAGCAAACTAAGCGGTTTTACTACGAGATTGAAGTAAGTGGAAATTGCATGAATACGGTTGCTATAGCAACGGATAAACAAAAAACTTTGTACATTTTGTAAAAGCAAATAATGTAATGTAATGTAACTTTTCTTTTATACCAACCATAAGCTTTTGTTATGTTTATTTTTGATTGCATGGTATTTTGTATTTTTTGTGCCAGCTAGGGTTACGATGCACCGTGGCCTGGTTCTCGAAGCAGAAGAAGGATCGTGGTGGTTTATACTCAATAAGACTCGAACACGCCCTCTTGCCTCACCCAGGACATAAAAGACATAGTCATCAAACCCCGTCAAAAAATAGAATTAAATATTATAGGTACATACTAAATACTCGCCCCGACTTACATGATGTAATACTGATACTAATTTTCTTCACTTCCTATCAAAATCCGTTGTGATTTTTAAAAGAATTAATTATAGAAAGGGACAGAGATTTCACAGTTAAAAAAATCAAAAAGTTGAAATGATCAAACATCCAATACTTAACCAAATTCTGTATGAATGTAATATTAATAACATCTGATACCTATTATAAAAATTCTTCGTTAGGTTTTTTTATGTAATAGGTCGGCAAACGAGCATACGGATTACCTGATGGTAAGCAATCAGCGCCGCCCATGCAATGGAGGAGTTACGAGTGCGTTGCCGATCTTTTAGGGATTAGGGATTTGGAGATTTAGGGATTGAGGAGGGATTGGGGGAGGGGAAGGATTGGGCCTCCGGTAACCTCACTCACACGGCGAAACACAACGCTGCGGTTGTTTCACGCCGGTTTTCTGTAAGGCCGTGGTATCACTCCGGTCGAGCCGAATTATGGCTCTCCCACACTTATGATCAAATTGTCTTGATCTACTTAAAGAGTTGGAAGTTGAGTAAGGACTTCTTAGAAATATTTATTCCTGATGATGACGAGTAAAAATAAAAATTAAATTATAAGCGTATTGTTAATTCATTTTTAAACTATTAATATTATTTAGTCTAAGGATTGTGTTCACGTAAAGTAGCATAAGTTACATAAGTGAATATTTGTATAAGTAATTCTTGGAATATGATGTGTGTAAGTGTGCGTAGGTTGTGACGTCAAATATGACAAGTTTGTTCGTAGCTCTGTTTGCGTTTGCGCACCGCTCCTGTTCGAAGATGTCTATTGTAAAATGCCAACCTTAAAAAAGGACACAATGCTTGTTTTTTATTTAAAGTTTCTACAAATATTCAATCCTCATATCCGTAAACCATAATAGACTGACAATGCACTGGTAACATTTCTGGTGCTTCGGGTGTCCAAGGGCGCACATTGCTTACTATACCACATAAAAGCTATTAAAAATATGTCACATTTTCAAGGAGATGCCGTGACCTGCATGGGAATGAGGTACAGAAACCAATTCTAAGCAATGAAAATTCGGCCAGGTAGGTACCTTCCTCTAGTTTTGGAACTTTTCAACGATTAATGGATAATAGATTTGAAAATTTGAGTATGAATCACGCTTGCTCAAGGCAGATTGGTGATTTCAAACTTACAATTAGAAATTCTCTATTAAGAAGTCCAGGTTTCCTCACGATGTTATCCTTCACCGTAGGTCAGTGGTGTCTAAATAACCATAGAAAGTACAGCTATAACTTGGTAAACATGGGTACTTACCAGGTTTCCTACCTTAGTGATGAGAAGTGGACGACATGACTACAGATTCACTAATTTATATAAAGAACTTTACAGATAGATAGACGGTGGATGTCATTAGGAGTCTGATAATGAAGACGAAGGATAGTGCAGCAGGGAACTTCTTGACGGTTTAAGAGGTTCAGTAGTAACCTTGTGTTTGGACTTAATTCTGCGTCTACTATGTTCTGACAGTTTAAGCTAAAGTATTTGCGCGACCCACCCAAATCGATCGATCCTTTTGATCGGTATTGTTCGTCAGACAACTCAGCAACACCTGGTTGTAATCTGACACATGCGTGCCTTTCTTTAGAACGGGTCCACTTAAACTAGTGTGGTTCTTTTCTCAAAAGACCACTACGGGATAAACTTGCACGGTTCTCACACATTTTATTATTATATTTAATATTGTCTGAACTTGAAAAAGACGAACCCTGAGTTTCTTTCGGGATTTCTTCTGAGAGTTGTCAGTTAGGAAATGCCGGCTTCGTCTGGTTTTTTATGGCCTATTTACAAAGATATTATTTTTTTTGTTTTTGTTCATTGCTTAATTCATATTGATGAGAACTTTGCACCTATAGGTATACATAGAGGTCTGCCGTATACCTAATGAATTGGAATAGAATTTCTTAACGATTATCAGTACGGAAGTATAACTCTCAGGATTTTCCGTCTCAAGTAGAAGTCGTCTTTTCTTTCGAGAAGCATCCTTGCTCTGTCTACACATCACTTAAAATTGTAAAATAAAAAAAAAATCAAAAGAAAAAGAACTTCAAAAAGATAAGTATAATACAAAAATAAAATTTACTTCGTTAGTAATACTTATTTTCAAAAATAATTAGCAATTTATTTCATAATTTCCTAACATTAAATTAGTGATGAACGTATCATGTATATAATAAAATTATCTTATGTTTTTATAATAACTATCGTGAGACATACTAAATTAACTAAAATTCGCGGGTTACTCACGTGCAAATGTTGAGAAAAGCTCTACTAGTTTCGAACCACAGAGGGGTTCTTCCTTATGAGCAGCGTGCGCGGACGCGGCGACGTCGCGCAGCCTACTCGCGAGCATTGAGTAGGCTCTCAACATTTGCACGTGAGTAACCCGCGAATTTTAGTTAAAATTATCTTAATTTCTACTGAAGTCGTAAACGCTACGTAAACGATGGCGGTGCACCAATGGGCTCATATTTACATATACTCAACTTCACGTGCCGGTATTCTGCAAATAAATAAATTAAAAATTAAATTACTTAGTTTAAAGATGCAGTAAGCATACATTTTCACAAAATAATCAAATAAAAGTGTAAAAAGTTTTTATGGGACTGATATAAATAGATTTTACATGGTTGTCTCTATTTAGTAAATGTGTATATACATGCGGAAGGCAGTCTAGACTTTTAGTTTTTTGTGACATTCTCTGGTATGTATATACTAGAGCTACTGAGACACAAACAGACCTTAAATTTTTAATGACGTTACTGATCCCGAAAGATCTATCGCGGCAATTATGAAATAACCATTCTTAAAAAAGAAATAAACCTCGTGCAATATAATTGTGATTAGAAGTGTGGGAGAGTCAAGCTTCGGCTCGAATAGATTGGTTCGATCAGAGTGATACCACAACCACACAGAATACCGGCGTGAAACAACCACAGCGTTGTGTTTCGCCGTGTGAGTAAGGTCACTGGAGCCCCAATCCCTCCCACTGCCCCCATCCCTTTTCAATCCTTAAATATCCGAATCCTTTATCCCTAACCGGTAACACATTCGTGACTACTTTGGGCTTTGCAGGTGTCCATGGGCAGCGGTGATTGCTTACTATCAGGTAATCCGTATGCTCGTTTGCCGATCTATACCATAAAAATATGATTTATGAATCTCATTCACTATAAATAGAAGGAGGCTAACAAAAATCTGAAACAATAAGTTTTAAAACCTGTTTGAAGTTACTTACGCTTTTTCTCATCACAATTGTATTCAAAGAGGTCACAGTTGTCGTTGAACATTCTGGTGATACCCAAGGAGTCCTGGGCACAGATTGGCACGAAATCATGCTGGCACTGATCCGCCATCTTGCAGTAATTTATCATCTAAAAAGAAAAACATTATCGGTTTTCGCTACCAACCAGACATTGAAAATGTAGAAATAATTAATTATAATCAATTCTAAACGTAATCAGCCCAGTGCAAAGTACTGTTTTCACGCGAAAAAAGGTTGGACTATTAACTTATACAAATGTATTACAACTTATAATTATTTAAATGTGGAAGCACCATACTTTGGCACAAATGGGTCGGCTGGACCGGTATATTATCATATTGTGCGATGTACCAACAGAATAAAGATACGAAACAAAAAACATAAAACGATTGTGTTTTGTTCCACAGTTTCAGTGAGGTTACAAGACGCTCAATTTCTCCCATACTTCCACGCAAAGACGGAAAGACCGTGTGATAGCGGGAGGTTTACTCACGTCACGGTATTTCGGTACATGATCATTATTCGAGCTCTTTTCTAACCTGCAGGAGCGATGAAACTTGCTCATTCCCATTTTGGCTTACAGATTTTGAAAGCTTTGTCGGTGATTCTGGTTCTTTAGCGCAATTCTCCATATCGGATTATTTGCGCTATGGTAGTCAAAGAATAGCTCCATCGCTAGCTGTGCTACTTAAACTTTCTAGCAAACCAAAAGTTAGAGACCACGTCTCTCTGCATAACCCTAATTCCTGGCAATGCACACATCTTGGTTCCAGATTTTTGTCGAAGTGAATAGAACTAAGGAAAAGGAGATCGTATTTAAAAATTACCGGCTCTAATGGAAAGAAGTAATCTTCAGATTCCATTTCGACGTGTGACCAGACTTCAGCAGCTAACCCAATTATAATTAAACCTGAAAAAATTAAAATATAATAGAGAAATAATGGAAACCGTTTCTAAATTGTAACACAATCCATCAGTTACAGATGTTTTAGTTTTATATTTTTTTTGTAGTAAGTATAACTGACCTTAACGGACATAACACATAAACTAATTCGGAACTTTCAAAAACTAGTGTACAATAAATAACCTATATAATATCCAGTTTGGTTTTATTTAACAATATTTTTTTATAAACCTTCTTTTTTTTTTGAGTGAGAACCGTTGAATTAATCCAGACTGATGGCTAGACTAATTCAATCACGTATACTCATAATTACAAACCCCAGTCGTCGCATGAAAGTATTCGAGCTATCCTTGAAAACTATTGTTGTAGAGGTTAATGTATGTACTTTTTTATAGACTTGGAGGCAAATGAACAGGCGAATCAACATATATAAAAGTTCAATTACATATTATTAAAATAATCTTATTTCATTAGAATGCCATGTTTCTAAGAAAAAAAAACTGAACGAAGAGACTTACTAGTATAAACTTTTCTGACTATCATTGTGCACGTACACTTCGGCGAATGGATAACAATGGTCTAGCAGAACAATAACCACATTTGTTTACTTTCCAGAAGTAAACTATGATTGTAGGGCAGGAAATTATTACAATACACACATAATATTGAAGCTTATGTAGATCGTTCAGGATTTTGCAGAAGAGGTCAACTCGATAATCTGAGTAAGCAAACATTTTAGATTAATTTTTATGAAGACTGTTTTAGTTTTGTAATTACAATAAAGATATACTAAATTTATTAAAATACCGACTACGACTGCGACACACGCTGTTCATGAATACCTAAGAGAGAAGAAAAAATCTCATCGCAACATGAAGAGTTTTTCTCAGTCAATTTACGTAAGATCGTTGATTCCAAAAAACGAAAATATTATAAGTATAAGAAGAATCCAAGAAGAATGAATGATCATGAAGATATTGTTAATATTATTTGTATTCTAAATCCAAACTAAATAATATTATAAATGCGAAAGTAATTCCTATTGTAAATTGTAAAGTAAACCTATTTGTGTGAAATTTGCTACAGACATAATTTGGAACTCGAGAACGGACATAGTATAGTTTTTAACAAAAATCTGCAGTAAGTCACTATTCCACGCGAACAAAGTCGCGGCCAGAAGCTAGTTTTTATAAAAATCTTATGAAAAAATAGACTTAATTAAATGAAAAATGTTTCAGTAGAAATATATATAAATTTTCTGTATATTTATTCGTTATTCCAAAGTTATGCGCCCCTGACTAGGACTGTTATAAAGTTCAAAACAAACAGACATAGATCTTTGACTAGTTTATGTTATCATAATTAATGGTGAGTCGAGTACAATCATTCGCCATTCCTCTGGTATCGGAATGCGGCCCGATATACTTCAGATAATCGTATTTTGTGAGTAAATTTTCTAGTCCTTGTAATTTACATATACATCCACTTACATACATATATGTATATGTTTTATAAAATAATAGCGACTACCTGCCCCGATTTCACACGGGTGCAACCTTAATGCTAAATTTCTCCACTATTTAATGGATGTTACTGTACGTATAAATCTTCCTTTACATATTCATAAACATTTCTTTTCAATCGCTCTATCTAATAATAACATCGCACCAAAAACTATTGCGTAGTTTTAAAGCTTTATACATAGGAGTATAGGGACAAAGTGACTTTTTTTATGTTATATACGAGTAGTGATGTACACTATTTTGCTTAAAACTTAAACTGTTTTGTACTTTTTAAGTGTTTATTATAATTTTCCAGCATTTCTTCTACTGGCCAATAATATTCCATCAGTTAACTGCCATATACCCAGCCACGTTTCCACCCCATCGGTAAGAATTCAAATAAATGAAAATTCTTATTAATGAAGATGAGAGTTCAAAATCTGGCAAGATTAATAAATAATGTGACTGTTTTCCCTATTCTCAAATTTCTAAGAATTTACACGAGGCCAGTCACGCTCTTGTACCTCAGGATGGCTGATGACCATAGTAGACGCCGTTTCTTAACGTCAGCGCGTTTGCCAATATGCCTTAAAATAAAAGATTATGATAATTGTTTTTTATGTGATAGGTCGGTAAACGAGATGACGTATTACCTGATGGTAAGCAATCTGCAAGGACAACGGAGCAGTTACGATTGAGTTGCCGACCTTTTGGGGATTAGGGGTTTAGGTAGGGAAAGGATTGGATCTTCGATAGCCTCACTCATACGGCGAAACACCGCTGTGGTTGTTTCACGCCGATTTTCTGTGAGGCCGTGGTCTCTCCGGTCGAGCCGACCCATTCGAGCAGAAGCATGACTCTACCACGTTTTAAAAAAAAACTCGTAAATTATATTACATACCTAATTGATACTATTCATTTTTTTAAGTTTCCGTGTTTTTTTATTATATTCCACAGAGCAAAAATGATCAGTTCTGTCTGCTGTCAGAGAGTTGTGTTCACGATACGATTCGTGTGTGCGGCGTTATGGGGGACAAGAAGAGAACTTTTTTAGATTGGTGCGACCTCCTGGAGTTCGCTTGTGATACCAATCAGAGTGAGTATTTTTTAGAAAAATAACTAAATGTCTTCTCGTCAAATTTTAAGCCGACTGACCCTATACTATAAGAAATCTTGTGGGTTGTGTTGGATTCCTGTAACAATATGAATTTCCCCAAGTATCACCTGATTATACTCTGTAAAGTGTATGCTTAAAACTGGTAAAATTTTTGAGTATTTTTCTTTAATTTTAATTTCATAGAAATATTCTAAATTTTTTTTTTACCTTGTCAAGTCCTCAGTCAGTAAACAGACCGTACACGCTCACGATTATGAGTTCCGGAGTCACTTGAAACTGGTCGACCTTTTCTTGGCGTACACCGTATATAAATAACTAGCTACTCTCGCGTGGTTTCACTCGCCGCTCGGCTTCATTTGATTGTAGCGTGATGTTTTATAGCCCGTAGCACTCGGGAACATTGTAGCTATCAGTAAGTGAAGAAAGAATTCTGGGAATCCGACCAGTAGTTCCAAAGATTACCCCTTACATGCAAACTTACGATAGTAGATAATTCAATAAATTAATTTCACAGTTTACAGCCACGTTGACGATATGGAAGGGTGTCCAGAAAAGAAAACTGAAAATGAATAATCTGGAAACGCAAACATTAAGCTAAATAAAGACATGATTTCATTTTTAGTGCTCGTATTTTTTTCAATCCATGGTAGACATCAAAATAGGTGACTTAGCAATGTAACAAATAAGCAAAAGTTTCTGGCAGAACAAAATTTTGGCAAGTTCACTCTTGTCTGCGTTTTCAAACCGTACAAGAACAGAATGCACTATTTTTATAAGGCTAGCTAGCAACGCATTTCGGTCCCCTGATCCAAACCCGATAGTAACAAACCATTTTACCAGTTAGTTCATTATTTTCCTAACTCAAAACAACCAAATAGTAGTATTTAAGAGACCATAGTCAGAAATCGAACGTAGACCGTACCTATATACTACTCATTTTCAACAGAGAAAAGCCAGACCGCCTTCTATTCTGCAATAAAAAGGCATATCTACCAACAATTATCACATGATATTAAACCACTAGCCAACCTCATATAATTGTCTCGAAACTAGTATCATCATCATCAGTCACTCACATAGACTTCAATCACACCAATAAACCCTGCAATCTCAATGAAACGCAGAATTACACCACAAATTATAAAATACCAGACTACACACTCAGACATACAACTTTTTAAGAGAAAAAGAATCTTTACTTAAATATGTGTTTAAGTATCATTACTGTAATGTGCTTCGGCCTGACCTGAGATCGTTAGAGCGAGAAAAATGTATCAAAGGTTACGTGTGTGTGACAGAGAGGTGTATACTCGAAGGTTGACCGGGTAACAGGTTGGAGCAGACAGAATAAGTATAGCGAATGCAGTAAGGTACGGGCGCATCGGCGCAGGCGCATCTTAGATACGATGAAACGAAAATAAACGTGGGTTAGCGACGGGTTAAAAAATATTTGCAATTTTATTTTAATGTGTAATAAAAAATGTTTGTATATATATTTTTTTCTTTGAATTGCCATTACAATTAATTATTTTTGTTATATTAATGAATGTAGAAGAAGAATTAAGCGGCATGTATGTAGTTTTAAGTATCACTGAAATCTATTGTAATGAAAGTGCACAATATATCCTTTATTAAATTTCTATATAAACATAAGGCGAAATGTATATTGTAAATTAAGGAAATAAAATATAATAAAAACTTGACTACAAAAATGTTTTAAGAAATACACATTCGGAAATAAGCCGCGATATACCAAAACCTAATTCAAGTCTCAATTAATATAAATAACTTCCTTCATAACAACATTTCTATAATTATAATCCAATAAAAATGTAATAGCACATTTGATGTTAAAATTAAAAGATTTTATAATTCAAATTGAAGTTAAGGTTTACAGTGTAACCGGTCCAAAGAGCCGTGAGAAAGCTACAATTTGAACAAGCCATAATTAGCGACCGGGGTATTAAATCACGGGCACTGGACGCCCCCCCTCCCCCTTCCCTGGCTGCGCGGGCGCCGGCCCGTTCGCAACGATTCCATCGATTAGACCGATTTAAGGTCAAGTTTGGAACAGGTGGAATTGTAGGGTCAAGGACATTTGGATGGACA